GGTATGTAACTCACAAAACATTTTAAAGTTGTTGAGGTTGAGAGATACTGCTCTACACAAAGGGCCAACACTAACATGTCAACATTTTGACAAAACTCTGAAGTCTTCCCTGAGTAACACTTGAATCTTCCCAACATCTTGCCTTCCTGTTGTCTTAAATAGATAGAACCTTTCTGCAAATTCTTAATATTATACCTGTAACTATTGGTCATTCACAGACTCGTTTTATTGTTATGTGATAAGCCATGCTTATTTCCCATTTGCAGAGTATCTTACCTTTGGTTTTAGCTGTATTATCGCACTTAGAATCTAGAATCAGTTTAATCTTATGGATAATAATAATAATAATTTATTAAATTTGTATCTGGCTAGAATTTTTTTCTGCCAAGTCTCTTTTGTCTTATAGTGGGGAAGTGGGCTTTTAAAAGTCAACACTGAATTCTTTTTTTTTTATTGTTGTTGTGTGGGGGGGTGAATGATTGGACTCACAGGCAGAACTTGATTGGTAATGCCAAAACTAAAACCTGCAGAGTGGAACAAAAAATGGACATATCTTTTCTCTCCCTCTACTTTGTTTTACATATACTTATACATATTTTTCTTCTTCTGCTGCTTCTGCTTCTTCTATTATTATGATGATTGGTCGCACAGTCAGCCAGATGTTTAGACTGGGTTTGGCATTTTTATCCACCTATCGAGTCCTTCCCAAGGACCTGGGATAGGCAGGTATTGCTGTTTGATGGTGTTAAAGGTATCGTCGCAGGATGTAAACTGTTCCAAGTAAAGCTGCCTTTTGCAATTGACCAGTGGTGATTTTGTCAATGCTGATGGTCTTCAAGTGGTACTCCAGATGTTTTGGGATTGCACCCCAGGCACCTATCCCAGGTCCTTGGGAAGGACTCAACAGGTGGATAAAAAACCCCAGATCCAGTCCAAACATCTAGCTGACTGTGAGACCAACAATATTATTGTTGTTATGGTTGGTCGCATGGTCAGCCAGATGCCCAGACTGGACCTGGCATTCCCATCCACCTATCGTAGTGTTGTTGTTGTTGTTGTTGTTGTTGTTGTTGTTATTCTCCTCCCTCCAACTTTATTTCTATTCCTTAACCCTTCCTGACTATTTAAAAAATCCACAACTAATCAAGTAGCAGGTTTGTTAGTGAAAAGTTTTATTTTAAATATGTGTATGGTATATGTGTATGGTACTTATGAAATTTGTAAATGATAACCCTATCTTCTAAGGGGAACTGTTTTTGTATATAAAAGAAGCAAAAATGCCTCTTCTAAAGTGATACCTTCTAAGTCATATGTGTGAATCATAGAAGCAAATCTGACTATAGAAGTAATGTTTTTGCTCATGGACAGATGTAATCAATTAATGAAATGCAGCAGTATGATTAATACAAATTTCATTAATTGGGTAACAAATTTATTTTTTTAGGATCTGAAATTCTAACAGTGAGCTTTAGATGGTATTCTATGGTTTAATGCTAATGTTTTTAATTATTTCCATTTCAAGTTCCTAGTGAATTTGCCCATTTTTTGTTTTTAAATTTTTATTAGAAACAGTAGCCCTGATTCTTTTTCTTGTTTTTTCCCCCCATCTTTAGGCTGCCTCTGGATTCCAGAGAATCCTGTCAACCTTGACACTAGCAATATTTCCAACTCTTTATTTTTTTACATTCCTTTATTATACTGATACAGGGTCAACATTTTTTACTCTATTTGCATATTTAATGTGTCTTTATGGCAATCATAAAACCTCAGCGTTCCTTGGATTTTGTGGAGTTATGTTTCGCCAGACGAATATCATATGGACTGTCTTCTGCGGTGGAAGCATTGTTGCAGAAAAGCTAAGCGAAGGCTGGAATGTAGAATTACTGAAAAGCAAAGAGAAGAAAAACTTACCAACACAGAGGTTCTCTTCAGAATCGATCAGGATTGTTAGATTTCTTTTTGGGTACTTTATGTCACTTAAAAACTTGAGCAGTCTGATTCTCTTGACATGGCCGTATGTTACTGTGGTGATGTTTTTTGTTACTTTTGTTGTCCGCAATGGTGGCATCGTTCTTGGGGACAGCAGCAGCCATGAAGCCTGTCTGCACTTCCCTCAGCTGTTTTATTTTTTTTCCTTTACTCTTTTTTTTTCCTTCCCTCTTCTAGTGTCCCCACGTAAATGTATCAGTTTTCTTCATTCTGTGAGGACTTCTTTGCTACAATATAGTATCCTCACCATTGTCTCTTTATTCCTTGTCTGGAAATTTACTTATGCGCATAAGTATTTGCTTGCAGATAACAGGCATTTCACATTTTATGTGTGGAGAAAAATCTTTCAGAGACATGAGCTTGTCAAGTACACATTAGTTCCAGTTTATATATTTGCCGGCTGGAGTTTCACAGATGCACTGAAGTCAAAATCTGTTTTCTGGAACTTAGTATATTTTATATGTTTGTTTGCAGTCTTAGTACCACAAAAGCTTCTAGAATTCCGTTATTTCATTTTGCCATATATCATATATAGGCTTAATATTCCTATGCCATCACTTTTGAAACTTTTCTTAGAGTTGATTATATATCTTTTGGTGAATGCAATAACATTCCATTTCTTTTTGAACAAACCATTTCAGTGGCCAAATAATGAGGAAATCCAGAGGTTTATGTGGTAATGTTTTGGTTTTTAAAACCTATCCTAGATCTTTTTGCTACAAATGAAAGATTACAATTTAGAAACTTCATCAAGGAAAATGAAATATTCTGGATGTTTTTGTAATGGAGTAAATGTGAAATGTGCGGGGTTTCTGTAGACACTGGGCTGTTTTTATAAGGATAGCATCTTAGTAATTAATTCCTAAAAGATCAGGGAAATTTTACCCATGTATCCAAACTAATGTGAATGTAAGGACATTTCAGTCATACCAGTTATGCTACAGAAATCATAAATTTGGGCTGTTTTCATTGTGTTTCTGTACATGTGTAACAAGTGATTGAAAATAAGTTTGATTTCGTATCACTCAGCTATACTGTCTTTTTACCATGCTTGGGGAATACTGTTTCGTGCTTGTGTTATGATGACGTTGGATTTTATCTTTTGATGGGAACATTTAATTTTTTCATAATGTTTGGGGTCCAGGGGACTGTGACAGGTGAAAGCCACATAGTTATTATCTGTTTATTGCGTGAATAATGAGAAATGAGTGAGAGAAATGTGCCACAGATTAAGGCTGCAATCTTGGACTTATTTTTCTGGCAAGAAACTTGAAATCAGTAAGACTCAGTTCTATGTAGACATGGATAGGATTGTGGAGTAAAACAACAGGAGTGAGCAAGAAGGAAATTGATTATGAGCTAGAGAACCATACTTAATTCACATATCATAGGCAGATACTGTAGAATGAACTTGATTCGTTAATCACTGAAAGAACATCTAGATATCACAGGTTGCTATACTGAATACACTGAATCAATCTGTAATCTCACAATAAGCCATAAATCTTAAAATACTTTGCTAAATGCTTAGGGTTGTATGTACATTTTCCTTGTTTTTTTTTTCAAATAACTTTATTAGATTTTTAAAATAAAGAGATAAAAACTAACGAGCTAATAAATAAGAGAGAAAGTAGAAAAGAGAAAAAAGTAAAGAATGAAAAATAAAACAAGGTCAAACGTGTACAAAGAAAAAGAAAAAATAGAAAAGAAAAATGATTTTCTTTTACAACAGATATAAATATAAATTTCCTTTAAGCTCTTACTCTAAGTTTATAACATAAGTTTCATTTTTTTCTATTGTCTACTATTATTTCTAATCATCAAATCCATATATCATGATTTCGGTTTTTTTCTGTTTCACG